TTTATGTCTTTTAAAAATTAATTAAATTTTGATGTTTAAAATATTCTATTAAAGAACTTAAAATATTCTTAAGTAAATACTTAACATTAAAATTACATTATAACGTTTATACAAGTTATATAATTTGAATTGGGAAGTGCAAAGTCGATGGGGCAGCTGGTACTGAGCGGAATTATATGCTCAGTCAGTGCCCAGTTCTTTTGTCAACACGTTATGGAGGCATAGAGGGACATACAGAGGGCAGTTGGAACAAAGCACTTACGATTGTGATGGCTAGATCCACAGTCCTGCTCCCAGTCGTGGTTCTGATGCACCTTCTGGTGTCATAGTCAATTCGACGGTCTAAGTACATGATCACTGTCTGCTTGCGCTGACTATTAGTCAAAGGGGGTGGTCCATAGTCGAACCGTGGTCATCTGATCTTCTCTTTCTTCCAAGATTCTTGACGCTCTTTCCATATTTCCCACTATCCCGTTTACAATTCACTCCTTATAGCAGACTTCTTCAGCAAATCATCACAAATCAGTAATCACCAAACGAAGATGCGTCCAAAAGGTGAAGTGCTTCTTGGACGGTGGCATGGAATGTTGGGTCTATCGCGGCAATCACCACCGTCCTGGTACCGAGACCGACTTCGGGAGGAACTATGGGAACGCCGGACCACAAAGACACCCTGGCAGAAGTCGATCAGTAAAAGGGCGACCACATTTTGCTCAGTTGGACCGGTCGAACGCTGGTTTTCAGGTGTCACTTGATCACCAAGTCGGGTTCTCTCGAAAGGTGTTTGATGCAGATATCACAATTAGTCAAGGTCTGGAGATGCTGAAGGAAGGGGATGGAAAGAGAGAAAAAGAAGGAAGACGACGGAACAGTGAAAGAGTGCAACCGCGAAGAACACCACAATCGTCGCGCAAAAGGTCCCTCACGACAGCATCTTTAACCACCTGATTCCCTGATGCGATGATTCCGTAGTGGACCTGCGGTTCGGTGTTCTCACGACTCGGACGATGCACTTCACAAGCACCCTCACGACGATCGCAGGTAGCATTGCCTACTGGATGACGGCATTCCGCTTGGTATAGATGGTCTTTGCCCCTGCCTGGAAAAGTGTAGCTGTTTGTCCGTAACTTGGGTTTGCGTTCAAAAATCTCGGTAAGGTAGGTATGCATCTTGCTGTCTTCTGACTCATGGTCTGCCTTCAGAGCACCCAACGCGGTAAGGAGCGCTAACGGCGGTGCATTAAGACACCCTTTTCGTTGAAACTTCCCTCCGTCCAGGCTTTTGCCCTTGTCGTACTGAACCACTCCGCCCGTCATGTCTGTCGGCTGGCTCACCACTACATCTCCCAGCCTGATGTCGTAGCCTTTATCAAGATTGGGTATGCCGCCTCCGATGCCCACCATCAGCCCGAACCTTAACCCCTTGAACGTCCTCACCATATTAGTGGCGACAGAAGCTGCCGCGGTGGTGCCATCGACGCCAGCTGGTAGGGACGCAATCACCACGTTGTAGTTGTGGACGCGCCCTGTAAAATAGGTATTATGATCCTGCGCGTCTTTGTCCAAAAAGGTTCCATGTTCTTCGTCTAAGATGGCCCGGACCGCCGCCCTCTCAATGGGCAGCGCACATACGATCCCCACGTGGTATTCATCGACAGGAAGGAAAGGCATTAGCGGGTGAGGAAACCTGATGCGGCCGGAGCTGCGGCGTCAAGGCTGTGGGATCTACGATTCGAGATAAAGGAGCGATCTTCCATTTCAAACAGTAAAGAGGACCGCAATTCAGCGTTGTCGGAAATAGGAATGCCAGTTCGAAGATTGTTCACGTCAGGATCAAGAAAGTGGGCATAAACCACCTGCGGAGCAAGGCTGAGCAGGTGCTTAAGATCAGGCGGTAGACACATGGGCAGAGATTTAGCTGTAGCTATCGCAGAGCCACGTCCTTTGAGCGCCGCCATTGGCCTAGGGGACCGCAGCAAGGCTGAACCGTGGATTTTGTAAGGGAGAGGTCAGCCACACAGCGCTAGGCCAGACAGAGCACAAGCCAAGTCAAGACGCGGCATGCACGATCACATGGCAGTATTATCCCCTCCGAGGTCGGGCAGGGATGTGAAATGGTACTAATAGCGCTATCGATCATTATGAGGGGTCCAAAGGATGTCAACAAATGCCTATTTCGGCCAATTGAGACTGTTCTATCTAGCTATCGGCCTCAATTTCATCATGGTGTCGTTGCCAACAGTCTCCTCTGATACACAGCCAAATTTGGCAATTGCTGCATTTGTAGAAGGTCCTTGATCCATCAGAAATAGCCTCATTGGCGCCATTAACAGACGATTCTGTTATATCCGTCCCAAATTTGCGCTTGAGTGCCCTTTTGAGGGGGCAGCCAGGCGGGTGGAGCTTTCCCTATTGACACCGGCCGTTGGTTTTTTGTCGTACAGGTTCGTAGGCCAAATTAGAGCCTTCTGTGGGTAGAAACTTAGACTCTTCCTCCTTAGATTCTTTTTCTTTCTGAATCTTATTATTTGAGTAGAGCAATAAATTATATAGAGTTATTATAAAATCTTTATAAGAAGTATACGTTTTTTTAGCTTTTATAATATTTATTAT